AAGAAAACACAGATCCAACTAGACCACTGTCATATTTTACTGGGGTTGTACAAGGGATTTTTTCAAGTCTCAACATTGCATGGAAAAACCATCATCCAAAAAAAAAAAATCAAATTCTTCAAATGCCGGACTAAGGACTTGACCAAAATAAGGCAGGCTGTGAGCAGCCATCCTGCGGCTCCTCCCTTCTGCACCCTTCTCCTCAGGACTCCAAAATTCACCCTTGCTGACTCCCAGTTCTATATATAAGAAATTATTTATGTGTTCATTTATACATCCCTTTAGTCCTTCCAGATAGCCAGGTCTTTACAACAATGCAGTAATTCAGGATACTATCCTGCTGACATTAACTTGCACGAGTTTCCCCTCTCGCAACAACACCAGCTCCCCAACACTGGCTTCCCACACCCAGTTGTAGCAACATGCATCGAACTATTTTCTCCTGGTCTGATTTTGCAAGCCCAGGTTTGCCAAGGTTCTGCCTAGCTAACCTTCGGCTGCCCCAGAGCACCTGAAGAGGAAAGCCTCCACTCTCCCAAGGCTCAACCTCCATTTTGGAAGGAGAGAGACACAGGGAAATAAGGACTTTGTTTTGACCTAAAGCCAAAATGTGTGATAGGTTGACAGCCATCTGTAGGGCTGAAATTACTCTGATGATTTACAATAGTGCTGGCACATGTTTGGCTGGCTTAAGACAGAACTCTTCTTCCAGAGCTGCCCTTCCCCTCGGGCAGCTTTGCCCTTCTTTGGTGCGGCAGCAGCCTCCAGGCAGGAATAGCTCTTGCCATTAAAAGGAGAAGCCAAAACTTCTCGTACAATAATTCATTTACTAACACGTTGAAAAAAAACCATTTGAGTGTGTTAATGCAAGGCTATAGACATACTTTCTCCATCAGCTGCTAACAACATTTCCCAATTTACACAGCGGAGCCACTTGTGCTGTACAAGCCCAGCCCTGGATGAGCAGGATTTCACATGGGCTTCCCCAGCAAACCACTGCTCCTTCAGTTCCTATCAAATTCCCAAACCTGTCTTTTCCCCATTAAGGCTATCTTCGCAAGTTATCCCAGAGCGACTGGATTATATAAGCGGTCCAAAACTTAAGTGATGGCCAGGAAAAAATAATGGGAAAACCCAACTTTTAGGTCAGCATGCGCAATGGCAAATGGAAAATGCAGTGTCTGAGCTGACAGCTCCCCATGCCCTTAGGGATAGCTATGTAGTAGCTGGACTTCATTTCTAAAGAGACTGCAGCAAGCCAACTAGGACTCAAAGCAGCTGGTAAGCATGACTTTTTTTCCTCTTACTAAGTTCAGGATTTTCTCTTCTTTTGGGCTGAATTGGACAGACAGACTTTTCTGTTTGCAAGAAGTTTCCTTTCTTAGAGTTACTCTCAGAGTAGCCAGCGAGTATTTTAAACCAAGAATAGCCAATCTCAGATTCATACTCCTGTTTTTGGAAACACTATTTAGAGATCAAAACTCCTAAATCAAAAGTAGTCAGGAACAACAGTGAAAAACCACATGGCTATAACAGCAAGTAATGCATTGGCACCTTTTGATTCACCTCTCTCCTTGAAGACTCCTGGGAAGACTGGGTTTGCCCCAAATCTCCCTGAGTCATATCAGCTACTTGCCAGAAACCTTCACCACCCAGATTTAAGGTGCGAGCTCCCTAAAGCAAGTCACCATTGGAACGTCAGCAAAAACTATGCCACAAGTAATTACAAAAAGAAAAAGAGATCAACATAAGCCAAACCCCTGGTTAATACCCTTTGAAGAAAATACTGGAGTGGGAAAACAGATGAAATTTTTGTTCTGTGTTTTGCATAAAGAGGTGTGGGGTTGTATAATATATATAAAAATACATAATAGTTATATAGTGTTAAGTGAAATATAAATTCAGAATCATGGTCTGATTCACTGTGTAGCACTTACGAATGCTCTTATGGATGATATGCTGACTTCTGCTCATAAATGAATAAGCTTCATATAATGCATATGAGCTTTTAATATAGTAGCTGCCAAGGGAGTAACTGGAAGCCACCAAGTGTACTTAGTTCATCTGTTACTTGTCTGAAAGGTACAATTGGCATTCAAATATAGCAGATTATTTCATGTTACACTGCTGAGCATCAGATGGAAAGACAAAAGAAAATGGGAAAGATATAGTAAAGGGATATCATACCTAAACCAGAGTTTAAACTCAGAGCTAGCAGACACATAGATTAAAACTTCCCTTTATAAGAATACTTATGCCAGAGAATTACTTTGTTTCTCAAACAAGAAAACCACCTTGAGTCAAACTGTAGCAATAGAAGTAGCTTTCTGTTTGCATATCACAACACTTTTCTCATGAGAAAGGAGAAAACTAGATTGTGTAATGTAGCCACAGCAAAGAGCCGCCCAGGGATGCTGTGGGAAGGGCATCACTTCGAGCCCTTCAGAGCAAGCTGGATGGGCGTCTGCCAGGAAAGGTCCCTGCAGCCCTGCTTTGGGCTGCCTCAAATTTGCACGGCTTTTGACCTTAAAGGAGGGTTCTGTTTTGCACCAGCAGAAGACCTGGCTCTGGGGCACATGTCACTAAAATTTTAATGATATTTGAGTTCTAGGCAGCATATGAGAAAGTGGAACTAACCCCAACAAAGGCACCAAAACACAGCTCAAGAAATGCAATTTTGAGGCAGATTTTTATTGAACACTAGCATGTTTTCACATACAAAGTTAGTCCCCGGACAGCCTGTGCTGATTTTGGAGGGGTGCATGCATGTAGCTTAGCCAGAGAGGACCTAGGCAGGGGGACAGGGGTCCCTCCACTTAGTGCTATCCACTGGGGCATGGAGAAGTGGACATCTCGCAGTGTCCCCAAATACGCATACCCTCGCTTGCCAAACCAAGCCACTTTTAGGATTTATAGACATCTATTTCATTTGTCCACCCTGGTTCATGGATGATTACTACATCCATTGCTGCAAAGGGGCATTTCGCTTCCCAAAGCGCAAAGATACAGGAACACTACCTAAGGTTCAGGCTGTGGTCACTGGAGCCCACGGCACCCTGAGCCCCAAGATTGCCTCTGAGCCAGGGTCCTGACCTCATCACAGGATGCCACGTGGCTGCTGGATTGCTGAAGCCCAGCAGGGCAGGCATGGTTTTAGGAGTTCCCTGATTTTACGTGGTAGGTACTGGCCACCGAGGTAGTTAAGCAAAGCTTTGAAGTTTTCTTCAAAAGCTCCCCCAATATCCTGCAAAAACTGAAATCACGGTAACTTCATTGTTATTGCCGTGGTTTAAAGCCAGCCGGCAGCTAGGCAGCACACAGCTGCTCACTCATTCCCCCCTCAGCAGGATGGGGGAGGGGAATTGGAAGGGTAAAAGTGACAAAACTTGTGAGTTGAGATAAGAACAGATTATTAATTGAAATAAAATAATAATAATAATAGTAAATTGTAATAAAAAGGAAAACGAGAGAGAGAGAGAGAGAGAGAGATAAAGCCCCAGAAAGACAAGCGATGCAAATGAAAACAATTGCTCACCACCAACTGACCGATGCCCAGCCAGTCCCCAGGCAGCAGCCCCCTGGTCAACCTTCCCCCTAGTTTTATTGCTAAGCATGACATGATACAGCATGGAATATCCCTTCGGTCAGCTGGAGTCACCTGTCCTGTCTGTGTCCCCTCCCGACTCCTTGTGCACCCCCAGCCTACTTGCTGGTGGGGTGGGGTGAGAGGAGCAGAAAAGGCCTTGACTCTGGGTAAGCACTGCTCAGCAGTAACGAAAACATCCCTGTGTTATCAGCGCTGCTTCCAGCACAAATCCAAAACATAGCCCATACTAGCTCCTATGAAAAAAGTTAACTCTATTCCAGCCAAAACCAGCACATTTATTTAGTTTCCTTTGAAGCAATTACATGAGAGCGAAGCAGACATTATTCAAAATATGACATTTAAATAGCTTACCTAGGAAAATCAACCCTGCAAAGGAATTCCTCTGAAATATGATTTTTCTTGGAAATTACAGAGCTAAGGGACTCATACTTACTTTTTATTGCCTATTATGCCACTTACAATCCTCATAACAGGATGCCTTTATTGTTCCACGGTATAATCTCTGTCCAGGGAGCAGTATCACACAACAACAGTCATTTTAAAATATCTGTTTTCTAAAAGCCTGACCCAAAGCCCACTAAGGTCCCACTGATTTCTGGGAGCATCAGAACAAAGCTCCAGGTTGGCCATACAGTGTCACCACCGACCTGGTTCTAGGGAGCCGCAGTAATTGCTCTGACTAGCAAAGCAACTGGATTAAAGAAAAATATGACCCTACAGTGCCTAAACACTGCACAACTTGTCTTCCCATAATCCAAAAACATAATTCAGGCAGAAAAAACACAGTATCATAATTTCATACGGTCGCTCAGAGGAGATGGAAAGCCTGGCTGTAGTTTCTATTCACATTAGATGGACCCAGGTTAGCGGGCAGTACGTGCAGCGATAAACCACCTAATCATCTTAAAGGCTTTTGAGGTTTTGAGACAGGCTCTGCCAGACCTGTACTTTCAATCACCTGCTCACTCAGCCAGGCAGAATTTAGAGCATATTGTAGCTAATTGAGCGGAGCTTTGCGAAGAAATCAGCCACAGATACCCTGGCATCTGCCATGCTTGGTCTCGAGCTATATTTGTGCCCATTTAGAAAGCCCATGAGTGCCAGGGGAGCAACTCCAGCATTTGCTCCTCTCTGCACTGAATGTGCTCCCTGACTGAGGTCCACACTGCTCCCGGGGACCCCATCCCAGCTTGGCTCACAGACCTTACACCAGCACCACGCTGGATGAGGAGGGGTCCTTGAGGCGAGAAGAATTGCTTTCCTTCAGGTATGTTGATTCAAACTTTAGTCTTCTGTGCCTCTCCATTATTCAGGGGTCGGGTTTTTGTTCACTCATTTTTTTCCTATTAAGCTTTAAAGTTAACAAAGCTATTGCCCACATCAGGAACAGATGATGAGGGGCCCAGTAGGCGTCCTCCTTTGCTCGCTGCTGCTCATGCCCCCACACTGCACAGAGGTGGCTGCCCAGGACACCCAGCCTGACCCCAAAACAGCATGTGCCAACTGGATGGGAGGAGCACCTGGCTACCCTGGCCACAACGGGCTCCCTGGCCGAGACGGAAAAGATGGAAAAGATGGAGTAAAAGGAGACAAAGGAGAGGAAGGTTGGTGAGGAACAGGGGGTACATTGGTGCTGAAGCCTGTAGGCAGCCCCAGCCTCCAGGGCCAGCCCTGGCAGGTCTCATGTCTGCTGGGTCCATGTCTGATCTTTGTCCAGATGGCTTTTTAATATCTCCAGCGATGGAGATTCCACAACCCAAGTCAAAGAGTTTGGCCTGGTGGTTGTTTTTCCAATTAATGATGTTTTTTCAGATGTGCTTCTCTCGGCAGCTCTGCACACAGACAGTGGGGTGAGCAGGCTTTTCACTCGCTGAGTCAGCTTATGGGGGGTGTTGAGGTCATCCAGCCTTTCCTCAGCTCCATGCTGCCAAGCAGATCTTCATGCACCCTCTGCATTTCAGGCCAGTGGGTTTAGGCCCACCCAGCTGGCAACTAAACACCAGGCAGCCACTCACTCACTTGTACACCACCCCACTACCACCCCCTGGAGCGATGGGGAGGAGAAAATATAACAAAAGGCTTGAAGGTCGAGACAAGGACCTTCATTAACCTTGGTGTCCACATGGTTGTTTCTCTCATGTTCCATTCCTCTCCTCTGCTCCAAAACAAAAGAACTTGCCTGGCAGTTTTTTCCTCTTTTAAATATGTTATCGCAGAGGTGCTGATTAGCTCGGCCTTGGCCAGAGGCCAGTCCAATTTGGAGACAGGGGAGCTTCTAGAAGCTTCATACAGGAGCCACCCCTGTAGCTGTTCCTCCACTACCAAAACCCCACCAAACACAAACGCAACACAGTAAGTGCCTACCGGCACAGTGCAAACACAACTCTCCATTCCCACTCTGTCCCCCAGGTATGCAAGGTCCCAAAGGCGACCAAGGCGAAATGGGAGTCCCAGGGCAAGAAGGGCCAAGAGGATTTCCCGGATACCCAGGGCAGAAGGGGGAGAAGGGCGAAGGTGCCTTCATCTACCGCTCCGCCTTCAGCGTGGGGCTGACAGACCGAGCTCCCCACCCCAATGTCCCTATCCGCTTCAGCAAGATCTTCTACAATGAGCAGAGCCACTATGACACCAGCACTGGCAAGTTCTTCTGCAGCATCCCTGGCACATACTACTTTGCCTACCACCTGACGGTCTACCTGTCAGATGTCAAGGTCAGCCTCTATAAGAAGGACAAGGCAGTGATCTTCACCTACGACCAGTTCCAGAACAACAACGTTGATCAAGCAAGCGGCTCTGTCCTGCTACACCTCAGCGCTGGGGACGAGGTGTGGCTTCAGGTATATGGCGATGGGGACAACAATGGCATCTATGCTGACAACATCAATGATTCCACTTTCATGGGCTTCCTCCTGTACCCAGACCTGAATGACCATTAAAGCAGGGGGTACTACATGGGAAAGGACGAGGTGGCTTAACCCCAGATGGCATCCTGGGGCACTGGCGCTATAGCTACACTGTATTTACCAGAAAATTGCCTTTTGCAGGGGCAAAGATTGCCAAGGGTGGACCCTATCTCTTGTGAAATCAGTGAGGTTATATGAGGGACTTCCATGGGACCAAGAGTTCACTCCTACCTCTGCTCTTGCTCTCCTTGTGGAAAATGGGGCCCAAAGTCAAACACCGCTACTGTCATATCATGAAAGAATAACTCTCAAGATGGCCTAACATTTTTTGAAATTTAAAAGTGATAAGAGAAAAATTGGTTACTTTTAAATATCACATTCTAAATTTCCCCTTTTTAGCCATTTAAACTCATTTAAACCAATGGTACGCATTTTAGCCAGCATTTTAAAATTTGATTGGAAGAGGGATATCATTCATGAAAGCCACCTCTGCTCTTCTTTTCAGCTGGAACTGATGGCTCCATTTTTTCCATTGTAACTCCCTGTCTTATTAGGGCCTTTGACTTCCACCCATGGTTTGTTGTCTCCCTTCTTTAGCCCAGATCTTTGAATATATTCAGATTATTAACTTTCATTGATTTTAATCCTTTGATTTTCCTTTTATGTTTATCCCCATCATTATCTCTAATGTAGACAGCATGCTGCTATTTAGGGCAGGGATCTTCTTTTTGGTTTATCTGAAAAGCCTTATGAACGCCAGTGAGGCCACACAACAAAAGCAGCCTTCTGACTGTGTGGCTTTGGGGGTCTTGAGGTGTTCACAGACATGTTGTCTGCATAGTCGTGATGCTCAGAAATGCCAGAAGCTCTCCTGCAAACACCATGCCTGACTGGGGAACAGAAGGTCCCTCAAGACTCCTCAGCAGAGGGGACCTCAAGGCGGAGGTGTCCCTTCCCAAATCACTCACCTGGCGATGGAAGTGATGGCACGAGTACTTGTTCAGCCCAGAGGCCACCAGCATGGGGCACATGAGCAGCATCTTAGTTTCCATCTGCAAGCTGGCATGATACTGTACCATCTCCCCTCTGAATAGCTCCCAAGTACACTCAGAAGTTGAGATCTAGCAACTGTGTTTCCATTTTTCCACACCATAAGTGTGCCATAAGCAATGGTTTGCACACCACCTGGGCAGAGCTTCAGGTGGTGGTGCAACCTTGCCATGTCGAGTGGACTCCTGGGACGAACACCCCCAGGACCTGTTCCATCTCTCGGCAAGGTTACCTTAATGGGGGAATATTAAGGCTGGGATTAGTAGCAATCCCATCAAACTGCTCTCCAAGGAATTTGCTTGCCTTTTAGCTAAAAGAGGATTTGACGGTTTCTCAGATATGTTCAAAGAAGACTCCCATTAAGCTTCAGAACAGCTAACACAGATCAGAGCTAATGCGTTATTACAAGCACAAAACAGTATTAAGAGCTTCAACTGAAATTACTTCCAACAGCAGCATTTTCTATACTCCAGTGAATTACCACATTACAAATAATAACAATAAAAAACTTTCTCAAGGAGAATGCTCCCACATTTTTGCATGTATCATTGAGAAGGATTTGAAGAAAGGGACATTCATCTAGCCCTGGAAAAAAATACATATATTTTTCCAGCAAGGTGGGGGTACCCTGGGCTGGCACACACAAGGACACCCTCCTTTTGCTTTCCCAAGAAACTCCCCACCCTCTAGCTTTCATCAAGGCTTCAGCACCTCACCACCTCACACTGTATTGCCTCCTTATTGGGTAAGACAAGCTCTGGTTTCCAGACTGTTTCCCCAAAGCCACTGTGCCTCAATCCACCCTGACCAGCCAGCCAGAGAGAGGGCCTCTGCTGGCCCAGGAGGCTTCAACATCCTAGATTTAGCAAGGGTCAACCTGATGCTCAATGTGATTGCATTGAATTCAGAGAGCTGGGAAAACCCCTGCTCCTATTGTATGAATTAATAGTAAGGCAATAGAGAAAAGCAGAGAAAAGAAAAAAAAAAAAACCCACAACAAAACCCCCCACCAAATCAAAAAACTAATCCATAAACAAAATGAGATTTCAAAATGCAGCAGTTGAATCATATAGCATAAGAAGCTTAAATTGAAAGGACCAAGTCAGAGCTTTTGCAGTGGTTTTTTCATGTATTTTCAGATGGATTTTCTGAAGGCAGGGAAAATTGAAACAACAAAAGCGGCACTTGGGATAAACACTAGGAGGAAATACTAATTTAAAGCCTAGTTCCAAAGAGGCAGCCAAAACAATTTATTCCTTTCCTTGCTGCTACACAGCAGGAGCAAACATGCTTACAGTTTTATCCTGTACACCAGGACTCAGATGCTCAGACACGGCTTTTCACACTGCTGCACACACCTGATGCCATGTCCTTTAGGCCAGGGCAGAACCCAGGATTTCTTAGCACACTCCACAACTGCCCCATCACCAGTGTCACCCATATCAATGTGACTTACTCCCAGGTCAACAGCATCTCCCACCTGAAGTCACCGTGGCTGTAGTGCAAGAAACACGTCATGTGCAAGAATAGCACACTTGAGAATAGGACTGGGGCCATGCTAGCCCTGATGGGAAAGTCTTGTCGAACCCAACATGCTTGCTTGCCCTCCACATCATCCCACAGCCCACGCAGGATGCTTACAGTGCCATCAGACCTTTTGGCAGATGATCAGCCTCCCAGGAGAGGCCCAGGGTCACCACTGATTCCTGGTCAGCCTCCTGGCCGCCATGGCAGCAGGATGGCAGAGGGCTACACAATGGACCAAAACAACCCCCTCAGCAGAGCCCCAGCCTGGAAGTTCTTATTTCAAAGCCTGGCTCTGGTTTTGGTCCTGGCTCTTCCCCTGTCCCAGCTGTCAGGGTGGGGTCACTCAGGGCTGTGTCACCTAGTATTGCAGTCAGGCTATATTCATATACAAACAGAATATATGTCTTATATGTACACACATCCACTTTATCACAGTCCATGAGATAACAAAGCTCCACAAGAATCTTGTATATTAGTACATAAGGTCTTTTATTTTATTTAAACACTAAATATATAGCCCCTTTATCACCCTGTAAATAGCTTTTCCAAACTCCCCTGTGAGCAGCAGCCTCATGTGCAGGCACCTGCCTCCTTCCATGCTGCATTGGACCATTGAAACCAGGGTCACAGAGGGTTGCAGTGCTGTGCTCCCCAGGAGCATTGAGCAGGCTTTCATTTGGCACTGGAGGTGTTTGGGGACTTTGGCTCCAGCCCAGGGAGCTGCAAGGCTGACACCTCGCTGTCAGGGCAGAAGTCAGGCTGCTTGCTGAAGGGCGTATTTGTTTCACCAAAAGTAGATACAGAAAAACAGGAACATGGCCTCCCCGAAAGTGCCCCAGTTGTTTGTCAGTCACTGGGCTGACGAGCCACCCCATGCTGACTGCTGGGGTGGGCATGGGGACCTCATTTCTGTTCCTCCCCAGGTGCTCCCACCAGTGCACGACACAGCAGTGGGTCTCTCATGTAAATACGTTGAGCAAGCAACCTCTCCCAAACCGTGCCCAGCACTCCAAACACAACCAGGGCAAGTAATAAGGAAAATATATGCTATGATGAACACAAGTACTGTTGCCTGTGTAAGCAGCAAGGATGCATAAAGGAGAGGGCAGCCTGGTTCATGCAGGATCTGCCTTTAAGAGTATTGTGTATGCAGTAACCCAGGGCAGGGCTGCAGCAAAGCAGCTCCAGTGCAAGCCTCCTCTCAGCTCCTCTCTTCCCAAAGCACAGTAGGGACTTCTGTCTTTATATGAAATTTTGAAACACACTTTAAAGGGTTAAACCTCAGGGTTTGATTCCCAACCTAAAATCCTGGCCAAGCAAAGATTTCCTGCTTGAGAACAGCACACCCTTTCTATGCTGTCTGGTTTATCGAGAAAACCCCTGTAAACAGAATAAGACAAAGCACTTGGGAAAAGTTTTAAAGAAAGCCATTAAGGCACTGCTGGTCTGTGTACTGGCTTGTCCCCCTTCTCGCAGCCATAAATACTGAAATGCAGCTTCACCATGACACTCACCCTTTAGGAGTGAAGAAACCATCTTCCTCCCAGCCAGGGTGCCTACATCACTCATGCATACCCCAGCCAGGCACCTCAAAACCCAGCAAGCATCAGACCAGCCCCCCCAGTTAGTGCAGCCCAGGCAGCAGGCTGTGATCGAGGCAAGCATCTGCTGCATGGAAATAGGGGTCAAAGCCCTCCCTTTAGGGACTGGGACTGTTTCATGAAGTCTTCCACCTCCAATCTCTGTAAGATTCTTGCTCAGCTAAAGAGACACACACACTTACCTCCCTAGCAGGCACCAAATCCCAGTTTAAGTCACCCTCCACCCAGAAAGCCACTTTGCATGCCCAGGAGCAGCAATCAGTCCCCTCCCAGCTCCTCCCTAGGACAAATGCTCCCAACAGAGACTTACCCCATCAGCAAAGCAAGCACAGACACAGGGCAGGGGAGGCAGAGAAGCACCCCTCTCAGCAAATACACCTCTGCCCCATTGCAGCCAGGGCCAAGCCCTACAGCTGCCCTTAGCACCTCTGTTACCACCTCCTGAGGCTGCCCAGCCCCTGCAGGTGCCTGCATGTGGGGTCTCAACAAGCAAATAACATGCTGACAAGCTCCATGAGCAGCAACTGAGCACGGCCAGTGATTACCCCACCAGGCTGCAAGCTCCCAGGAGTCCTTATAGCCCAGGAACCACCCAAATCCCTGCATGTGGCATGGGTATCAAACCTCTACCTCCCTGGCTCTGCCATGCCAGGGGCACACAGCCAGGCCGACCGCAGTAGCCCAAGGTCAGGGAGCTGCAGCGCAGTGTGCTGGCCCTGTGCTGCTTTTAAGGGAGAGCTGCAAATAGGTTTTGGGAGGGTAATGAGGTCCTGGGGGATGAGCTCAGGGGAGTTCTTAATGAACCCAGCCTTTTTCCATTACCAAGTTGCTGTGGTTTTACTCTCCCTCCATGCT